ATATTTAGTAGAATCCAAAAAGGTAATCCCCAAAAGGAACGACTATGGAGCCTACGGGTATAGCAAGGATTCCACGAAAACTTTAACATCCTGAAGCCATTTGGAGAAACTCTTCACATCCCTGCGAGCATGGTCCGTCGAGATCCGGCGTCGAGCCATGAACACTGCAGTTCAAGGGCGCATGTCGGACCGGAGATCGCGCTATTGGCCCAGCTCGAGATTGGATGACTCCGGGTTTCAAGTTCCGGGCTTCATGGGTTGTATAAGGTTTAAGCTTCAGGCTGTTGGGATGGAGACATATCAGGAGGTTCTGTGGATCTTAAAGATCTGGGGATTAAGGGTTTCAGAGTGGAATAAGAAGACTTGGTGATACAACTAGTGTCTAGCTACATGTGATTGTAGGAGATCTTAGTGACTGGAACTAAAACAAAATTCTAATGGAACCTTGTTACCTCTGGACTTTTCCTATAGTTAATCTCCAATCCTATTGTGAAGGTAATGTGGGAAGGAAAATGAAGCAAACCTGGTGGCAAAAAAGACACATGAAGTGACAAAGGAACGAATTGGGTGCTTTCTGCTCTTGTATTACGCTTCATTGACGCACGAACTCAAGCACCAGATTTAAGGGTGTATTTCTTAGTGCTTTTCCTATACATCTAAAAACACCTACTTTTGTAAGGAACCACATTTAACATTGGGATCTCCTTGTGTTTAGGTTTTGGGCTTGTGGCCGTAAGCTGACACCGGCACATGCAAAGTCCTAACAGAACTGTCTTTGCAGATCCTACTGCTGCAAGCATGCTGTACAAGCACGACTGGAAAATTCAACTCCTGCCAGGCAGATGAGGTGGAACCTCTGATGACGGCTACGAGAGTGTTTGTGCCTGGAGATTCCTCAATGAACCCTCAACCTGAACGGATGCTGGATGGCGAAGCTGATTCCCAACGTCAGTTGACCCGATATTGGCCACAAGGTCTGCAAGTACTCCTAGCTACTATCCTAGTGGCTGGGAAGCAGCCGAAATAAACGCGTCGAGCAGATGTGATGACGTAGTAGAACAGTGTGTTTATCACAGGCAAGTTCATCATGTCGCTGCGCTAAAGGAATCTATCACAAGCTTCCTGCATCTCCATGCCTATACCTCAGTGACACAACTGTGAACCTAAACCCTAAACCCTAAACCCTAAAACCCTAAACCCTAAACCCTAAACCCCTAAACCCCTAAACCCTAAACCCTAAAAGCCCTAAACCCTAAACCCCTAAACATAAATCCCTACATGAAACCCTAAACCCTCTCAGCCCTGAGCCCTAACCCATAGCCCCCAACCCCAAAGTCCCTAAACCCACCACAGAAAGCCACATGGGTAGTTGTCAAAATTATGGTTCCCTAATTGGGTACCCTAAATATATTAGGTGCCGTATTAGATTAGGGACCCAAAAAGGGACCATAATTTTGATGAAACGACTCAGCTATGGTCTCGAGAGACCTCACCTGACAGATCCTGGTTGGAAAACTGCGCGCATGGCATCTCAAGACCGCGCCGATTCTGATTTCCTAAAGGGCCAAATGACACCCTCAACCCTAAGCGCCTAAACCCTAAACCTTAAACCGACACCCTGTACTCTAAATTCTAAATCCCTATAAGGCATATGAACCTTAATTAACCCCTTTTAGGGTCCATTTAGTCTGGGCCGATTCTGGTTTCGCGTGCCGGATTTGCAGAGCCTAGTTTGAGGGAATAGGATGAAGGTAAGCGCGTGTTCGGATCACAGCGGAATAGAATGTTCTGTTTTGCTAACAACATGGTTGGGCATGTGATACTACAGATGAGATATGACCATGAGAATACAACCGCTGCGATTAGAAACCCCCAACCCTAAAGACCTAAAGACGTAAAGTATAAACCCTAAACCCTAATCCCTGAAACCTGATTCACAGCGAGGGGGTTTTGGGCCTGGGAGTCCAGGCGGGGTACTCTGTCGCATCGAAAAGTTGGTGAGCGTGGTGGCTCGCTGTGCTAGGGTCCAGTGTTTAGGGCGTCGGGTCTTGCCCTAAATCCTAAACCCATAAACCCTAAACCGTCGAAGTTTAGGGTTGTGGGTTCTTCTAGGAAGTAGACCTTGGCCGACATCTAAACTGAAACCTCCTGCCCAAACTCTTGAGACGCTTACGTACGACCGAAGCCCTGGACCCTCATATGAGGGCCTTCATAATTCGAACAGGGGTGTGGGGGATAGTACTCTATAAACTAATATAAGGAATCCCCAGAACCCTATTCTCTCTCTTCTTCAACAACCGGGCCCCAACAAGTTCAATCTTTTCAAGATAGAGCTAGTATATAAGGCCAAAAAGTTTAAAGTTCCCACGTTCGCTATCTAAGTTATTCTAGTTAGTAAGGCCCCAATATTTCCGACCCCTAAGCCCCAGCCCGGACATCAAACCTGGTGGGAGGCGCGACTTGAGACACCATGTGCTCAGGAAACGGACCGCGGGTGTCGAGCCGAGAACTAGAGACCCAGAGACTCCAATATCCTTTCGGCCAGGGTTAGCTCATGGTCTTTATCCTCCCTGGATTTCAAGGGTATTGAAGCCTCCGGAGAGAATTGCGAACGCACTAGTATCGGCTGTGAAAGGAAGCGAAAGGGCGCCTTTGTCTCCCGGCCCTCCAACCGACGACAACCAGTTTGGGTTTAGGGCCTGTAGTGTCTACTTAGAGGATCATGGGACTTAGTAAGTAGGTCATAATTGGGGTTATACGTCCCCTAAGTGGGGTTATCCTAATTATAACCTACTTATAACCTTACTTACTAAGTCCCATGAGCCTTCAAGTAGGGTATAGGCCCTTCATCCCCAGCAACCTCGACATAGAAAGGGCTCACGTTTTGGTATTGGGTATTTTCAGAAGGAACCTAAGGCCACAAAGGGGGAACAAGGGCCCAGTGGGAGACCTATAGGGCTTTGGATTCAAGGGCGTTTTGCTTCTGGGTGTAGGGTTTCTGCACTTTGTAATTACAGTTCATGGGGGCTTCGAAGACGTTGAGGTATGCCGGCATAAGTCACTACTACGGCAACTGCTACATCACTTCTATATTGCCATCATGTCAATCATGCAAGATGTAGGCTAGGGTCGGTGTCTTCAGCTTCATGCGATACGCCAGAGCATCCATGGACTTGTGGTTTGGGGTCATTCATATTACATATGCTTGTACGATCTGCCCTAAGCCTAAAGCTGGAGCCCAAAGCCTCAAAGAAATCACAGTACAAACTTTCAAAACTCTAGGGAACAAATTCTCGGTGAAAGGATCGGTGCCCTCTTGCTTTGAACCATGTCCCTCCCAGGGCCCCACATCAGTTGCGGACTCTGTTCCCCGCACTTGTAGGCCTGGAAGGGTACCTGAGCCAGCATGTCATTGTCAAAAGGGAGTTTGGTACAGCCAAGGGTTTGGACCTAAATCGTGGTCCTCTTGTGAGGCAAGCACCATCCATCGCCACGACGACAACCATCACTGCCCTTCACCATCACAGTCCCAGTCCAATCCCGCGCTCGCCGGGCCCCAGCCCCACGAACCTTCCGGCACTAACATGGGGGCCGTAATAATTAGAATAGGGTTTGGGACCCCTTTCTACTATAACCATAATAAGGAACCACCAAAGTAGCATAGGTAATTACTGAAGCCCCTATATTCGCCTGTCCTGAAACGCCTTTCAGCTGTGTCACAATCCTCCTGCAAGATCGAATTCCAACCAGGTAGCGGCAACTTATGCTTTAGGGTTCAGGGGTTTAGCGGTATTGGGTTTCAGAGTTACGGCTTTTTTGCGAGTAACAGACAAAGGAACCCATGAAGCCTAAAGCCCTAAAACCCTAAACCCTACTGGCGAAGCCAGACTGATGAACTTCTAAGTACTACGACAGCTCCTGGCAGCTCATAACCAAAGCTTTGCATAGACTTGTAAACCTAATGTAAACTTCCGACTAATTAACCCCGTGTCTTAGAAGGGAGATAACACCGAAACACCAACAGGGCTCCTAGCGCCGTCTCTGTCGGGGGTGGGGGGGTGGGGGGGTTGTTGGCTGAACCATGACCCTAGGGCCCAAACCCCACTTCCAAAGCACGTGAAACATCGGAGAGCCCAAAACCCAAATCCCCAGTCCAGACCGGCCCCTAAAGCAACCTAGGGTTTTGGGGGTTCCTGAATAGAATTGCAGTATAATATACCCCCAAAACCCGATTCTAGTTCTTAAGGCCCCCGAATCATGTTCCCAAATAAAGTACAACATGTCCCAAACCCTAAGGGTCCATGTACCCATATAGCATATACTTTGGGCCCAATGTACCTATATAGGGAGTACTTTAAGGCCAATGTATATACTATATGAGTGCATGGACCCTTAGGGAAAGGCCTACCGAGCCCACAGTCTCAGACCTGACTCGATCGTGGAAAAGAAAATTTGGATCTAAAGGTTAGGGTTTTAGGGTTTTAGGGTTTTAGGGTTTAGGGTTTAGGGTTTAGGGTTCATTGGGGATCTTGAGCCAGTCGTTAACAAACGCGGCTAAAGTTTGGGATTTGGGGTTTGAGATCTAACAGATAAAACCGAATCCAACGCGCTAAGCTTACATGGGCCTTCACAATTAGACAAGACAGGGTTTTGGGGCATACTGTGCTGTAACTGTCATTTCTCATACGGAACGATAAGGAACCCTAGTGAATTAGGGCCGCTATGTCTGAGCCCTTCAGCCACTCCGTGCGGGCTACAGGTGCAAGAAAGGGAGCCATCAAGCGCCCATGATTTGCGTCAACGCCTCACCAGGAGGGGATAGGCTAAGGGCTTCGGTATAGGAGAGGATGTGTTGAAACCTTAGGCGTGTTTCATGGTGAGAAGGTAATTAGCTTCCTCGAGAGGTTCACGCCGACAGAAATTTCAACGGTTGCCTTGTCTATCTATCCGACTATGCTTCTTGAATCTTGAATATTGAATTTCGTATGGCCTCATGGTACCGTGGTTCTTGCCGATGTAGCGGGTATCTTCAACAATGATCGTCACTGACCCCACCGGACGTCCGCGGGTTTCATCAAGCACATATCCTTTGATCTGTCTGCCCTGCCACGGTACCGTGATGAGCCGCAAGTTCTTTGGCGGCCGGGCCTTGAGCCGTCGGTAGACTTGCGTAGGCCATAGGATTCCCTGGAGCATCTCCAGACGAGTGCGGTGAGCATTCAGGGCAGTTTCTTGTCCCTTTCGTGATCCTGACCACTTCTTCTCGCCTTCGTCTCGCTAAGTCCTGCTCACAAAGAGTTGGCATGTGGCATATTGGCAGGCATGGCACTGGCACATGGCGGCGGCAACAGACCCGCTATTACTAAATTCAGAAATTCACATATCTGGGCATTAATAATTTGAGTAGAGTTTTGGGGTACTTCCTATAATATACGTCTAGAATCTACATATTGTATTCATTAACTTTAGGGAGTTGTGTTTTCAGAAAAGTTAGTAAGGCCCCTACATTACTTGGAAAGCTCTCCGCGGGAGGCGATAAAGCTCGTAGCAAATTGCTCATGGCAGGTGCCTCGGTTGATGATAGAAATCCTGCATTACCCATGCCATAACAAGCAATATACCATAATTTCCATATATTCCCTATTATGGTTTCGCAGGATTTACATCGTCAGCTGTTCTTACGCAGGGTTGAGGATTTCTGGTGTAGGGGTTCAGTGTTGATGGGTTTAGGGTTTTCAGAGTTTAAGGCTCCCCTAGACATAGCTTTCTGACGAAATGCTGCGCACTTTGAACACAAAGTATCATCAATAATCGAATCTGCACAAATAATTCCCTGCGAAGCAGTTGCCCCCAGATGGACGTAAGCATAGGAACTGTACAAGGATATCCTTACCTTATTGGGCGTCATTGTGCGGGGTTGACATGGGATTTCTATATACTTTCTTGCTTACGTGCTGTTAGGGGCCCTATATTGCAGACACAGACCTAGTAGCGTAACCCTGCTTCTACGGCCTATGACACTTCAAATACCACAATACCCGAACTCGGACACTCTAAACCGTATAGCATCAATGCTAACAAGTGCTAACTCCGTAATCGCTCGAGGTGGCTGTTACAACCCAACTTGTTGTAAGTACATGTGACCCCTCAACCAGACCGGTAACATCGAAACCCCAACGCCCCAGAATTCAAGAACGAGTAAACCAAACTACATACCAGAATCCCAAAATAGGGGACCCTCATATAGTACCCTAAATAGAAAGACCCTTATTAAAAGGACCCCAAACAAGGTACCCCTAACTTTCGGAAACTCCATATAGGGCTTCAGTAATTTTCCACAAAAAAACAAAGGAAGCCAAAAGCCCTGACCGCGGCCCTGCCGAAGACACTACGCCCTAAACCCAAACAACCCTTAAAACCCCAAAGACACTAAACCCTAAACCCCCTTTACAGCTGCAGCCCAAGCCTTTGCCGAAGGAAGCTTGGCAACAAGATCGGAGGCGCCTGTGTCAAAAGGGCAAAGTCTCAAAGACTAGGGCTTAGGGTTTAGGGTTTATGGTTTCCCTAAACCCTAAACCCCTAAACTCTAAACTTCCACCCAGAGATCGTTTAAGGGTGCCTTTAAAGGGATCCTTAAGAGTTCCTTTAAGGGATCTATAAGGGATCTAGAGCGTCTAGGGTTTAGACATCCCTTAAGGAGTATACCTTAAATCATATTGGGGATCCTACTGCAATTTCAGGTATATTCCTTAATTAAGGGATGTTAGAGACTCTGGACAGCGCTCTGTCAGAAACCCCAGAAGTGCCCTTTAATAGGGTTTTGGGTTTTAGGGTTCAGGGGTTTAGTTTGGGGGTTTAGGCGTTTAGGGTTTAGGGACTTAGGGTTGAGGGTAGAGCCCTTCTGGTCCCTAATAGTGGGTATTTAGGGTATGTTACGGTGGGTAGTTGGAGGGTCTAGGTGGGCTTCGAGGTGGAGGGTTTAGGTTTAAGGGTTTAACCTGGACCCCGCCCGAAGTTTAGGCTTTAGAGGTTGTGGGTGTTCATAGTAGCCTGTTATACGGGTTTAGGATGTTGAAAATTAAGGTAGCCTTGAGGAAGATTTTTGACTTTGGGTCTTAAGTCTTAGGGTTTGGGGTTTGGGGCATTAGGGTTTTGGGGTTCAGGTATTTAGAGTTTGGGTTTAAGGTTTTAAGGCTTAAGGCCCGCAGGGTTTGAGGGTTCAGGGGTTTCAGGCTAATGCAGCTTGCTGGGTTTTATGTCTTCGATCTCTCGGATTCTCCAAAAAATGCAGTGGGCGCTTGAGGTATGTTGGCAAGGTTTTGGCAGTTGAAACGCTTTCGGACATTTGGCCTTCGAGTTTGGAATCCTATCACGGTTGCGGGTTTGGGGTTTAGGGGTTCAGGGAATTCGAGTTTGGTGCTTAGCGGGATTCAGTGTTTGGGGTTCGGAGACATGACCTCGAATTATACGACCCAACAGGCAAAGTCTTGGCTTGACGCTCGGTGGAGGAACATCGGTGCTGCCCCCAAAGAAGAGCCGCCTGACAATGCCACTGAACCAACTTCCTCGAAGTCGTCCTGCACAGCGGGGTCGAGTGTAGAGTAAGCGTTGCAACACTAACAACTAAAACCCTAAGTGCTCCCCGTGCCCTAATCCGCAGGGTGTAGGAAGTGTTGCATCCCTTCTGGTGCTAGAGTTGAAGAGCTTTGTGATGTGTACTTGAGGACTTGGGGATGTAGGGCTTTAGGGCCTCCGGCTTGGGGCATGAGGTCTGAGGCCTTTAGGCTAATCTTGGGGCTTTAGGGCTTCCGGATTCAATCCTCTAGTCCTTTTAGGGTTCATGTCGGGATTCATCGCAGCCCTCAAGCCCTAAGCCCTGGATCCTTCTAAGCCTTGAACCCTGCAAGTACCCGAGTCGTTCCTTCACTTTCCTCACTATTAGCTACAGTATGCTACCTAGAGTCTCCATTGTAGTTCCTTTTTTTGGCTAGCCAAAATCTATATTACAGGATCCTAACTGGTTAGCCAAAAAAGTAACTACAATAGAGACTAGAGGTACGGCCCAACGAAGCACGGAAAGCCGATAACCCAGTCCGAAACCCGCAGCTCCCCAACCTTGAAACCTGGAACCCACAAGTCCTGGATTTAATACCCTCAGCCCTAAGCACTTAAATCTAAAACCCTAAGCCCTAAGCACCTACACAACAAATTATCCTTTCAACCCCGCTCACCAGGTAACTAGGACCCTAACCTTGAACATCCGGAAGCTTGCAAACGACCTTTAAGAGTTCAGGGTGTAAGGTGTAAGGTTTAGGTTGGGTTTAGGGTCTAGGGTCTGGGGTTTAGGGAGTAGGATTTAAGGAAAAGCCAGACATGCAAACCTCCAAAAGCTGTGACTCCAGAGGCTGCGAGGCCACCTGCTCGGCAGACTGTGGGGTTCTAATATAGGGGCCTGAACCATCCTTAAAGGGTTCCTTTAAAAGGGTCTCTAAGGGTTACTATATGGGGTTATTATAGGGGTTTATAGAATAGGGGCCTCAGTCATTAGAATAGGGGATTCCCTTTTAGCGTTCCTTTGAAGGGGATCTGTCAGAGATCTATAGCGGGGTTCTGTGATTTAAGGGCCTTAATAATTAGACGATACGGTTTTGCGGCCAATTATACTAAAACTATAATAAGAACCACCAAAATACTGTAGTATTGGTAATTATTTAGGCCCCTTTATTGCGGTATAATGGAAATTCAGCGCGCAAGATTCAGGGGGAACTTATATAGGGGTCTGAGCTCGTTTCATGGGTCTAACAGCTTCAACGGAGTTTGAGGACAGGAACTTCTTGGGTTGCAGTCTTTGAGGCTGAATGCTCGCTCGAAACTAAGGGGAAGCTTAGCGCTGCGAAGGCTGCAGGACTGGGGAAGAGGAGCCTTGTGGTCCGTAACGGTACCAGGAAGGGTTTAGGATTTAGGTTAGGCTTCATGCTTGTTGAAGGATACTGTTGCGGTGGCTCCAGAGATTTTGGGACGGAGGCTCTTTTAGGGGTCCGGCGGGTGTATGCTCATGTTCCATATTGCCGATAAGGATACTGTAATACACAACTTTGAGCATCCACACCAAAGGCTTAGCATAGCTACCTGTATCCAGGGGCAATGGCGTAAAAACTTGAACCACACTTACACAGGCTCACTACACTACTATCAAGGGCCAGTAGTAGGGCTCATGAAGAGCATGGAGGGCAGGTCCAGCAGCTCGCACTTAGGGCTTGCGACTTCCATGGCTTCCAAGCGCAAACTCCAATATTCGTGGCCCTGAACCGAATCGAGAAGCAGCCAACCCCTCAATGACAGCTGCAGAAACAAGGAACCAGACTCAAGATCTGACACAAGTCAGTGATTATCAGCAGCAAGAAACGAAACACACCTCCAATGTGCAAGAAACCCTGTCGACAAGACCCAAAAGTAGCCTCGGATTTGTAAGTAACAGACGCTCCCCAGGCCCCTAGACCCTAATCTTAGGTAAACCCATTAATGATTATAGCAATGGTCAGAGCGGTCAGAGTAATAGCAATGGCCATGGTAACATTGCCTAGGTTCCCCACTGTCCCCTTCACAGTACGGGTACTGTTTTTCCTGGTATTCACTTTGAATGTTGGCACCCAGAAATGCAAAGGGCAAACCCGTACTACTCGGGAACCTAGCTACCACAGTTGATGATATAAATCCTGCATAACCTTAATGATCCTAGACTATGGAAATTGTGGTTTATTCCTTATTATGGGTAATGCAGGAGTTTATATCTATATCATCAACCCTAAGCCCTAAAGCCCTATAGATCCCTTAAAGGAACCCCTTAAAGGTACCCTTATAGATCCCTTTAAAGGAACCCCAGGATCTACATCATCAGCCGGAGCATAGTAGTAACACCCAGCCCGACGTGGAAGACCTGGCGCAACTCTTCCTCCCACTGCTTGGCATGGCCTGAGTCTTCTGGGTGTAGGGTTTCGGGTTTAGGGGTTTAGGCTTTAGGGGTGCGGGGTGTAGAATTTAGGGCTCTGAGTCTTCAAGCCAGATCTCCCACTTGGAGGTTCATGGGTAGTTGTAAGGGCTCCTTTAATTTAAGGGCTATAACTATAGTTACCCTACTTGTAGCCCCACTTAAAACTACCCATGAACCTCCAAGCAATATCCCTTTATACCCAAGATCTCTACCTTAAGTCTTATGAGGACCCCTACTCTAATTTAAGGAAAAATCCGGAAACTCAGGACTTTTTTT